GGGAGGGGAACCGAGGCCCGAGGCCGAGCCGCTCTCCCAGATGTGTCAAGACTCCGAAGGAAACAAGTTGGGGGCTCCTGGCAAAGGGGGTGAGGAGCCATGGGGACAGCAGCAAAGACAGCTCGGCAAGAAAAAGCATCGGAGACGCCCCTCCAAGAAGAAGCGGCATTGGAAACCGTACTACAAGCTAACCTGGGAGGAAAAGAAAAAGTTCGACGAAAAACAGAGCCTGCGAGCTTCGAGGATACGAGCCGAAATGTTCGCCAAGGGCCAGCCGGTCGCGCCCTATAACACCACGCAGTTCCTCATGGATGATCATGACCAGGAGGAGCCGGATCTCAAGACCGGCCTCTACCCCAAGCGGGCCGCCGCCAAATCTGACACCAGTGATGAGGACTTTATGGAAGAAGCTGGTGAGGAGGATGGGGGCAGCGACGGGATGGGAGGGGATGGGAGCGAGTTTCTGCAGCGGGACTTCTCGGAGACCTATGAGCGGTACCACGCGGAAAGCCTACAAAACATGACCAAGCAGGAGCTCATCAAGGAGTACCTGGAGTTGGAGAAGTGCCTCTCGCGCATGGAGGACGAGAATAACCGGCTGCGGCTGGAAAGCAAGCGTCTGGGGGGCGAAGACGCGCGTGTGAGGGAGCTGGAGCTGGAGCTAGACCGGCTGCGCGCGGAAAACCTCCAGCTGCTGACCGAGAACGAACTGCACCGGCAGCAGGAGCGAGCGCCGCTTTCCAAGTTTGGAGACTAGACTTAAACTTTCGGGGGGGGTGGGGGCAAAGGGGACTTTTTACAGTGATGGAATGTAACATTATATACATGTGTATATAAGACAGTGGACCTTTTTATGACACACATAATCAGAAGAGTAAATCCCTCCAGCTTTGGTTGGTTTGGTAAACTTAGCTGTGGTGTAGCTTGTGTGCTTTCTCCTGTTCTTTTAATTATGTGAAACTGAAGGGTTGCTTTTTTTTTCCTTTTTAGACTTTTTTTTTAATGTGTAATTAGACCAAGTTATAATGCAATTTTGTTTTTAAAAAATCCCCTCCTTAAATGGAGCTATAAGATGGCCAAATCTGAGAACCGTTAAATTCATCCTAGTTATAATAAATTTAATATTTGTAAATGTAATGTAGTTTCAGTGTGATTTCTAGAGCCATTTCAAAATAGTAGTGACTTATTTTATGTAATTGCATTTTGGGGGGAGGAGTAATGAAATCGTTAGGTTTGTCAGTTTACAAAAAAAAATAACTTTAATGGGACAATTTTCAATTTGCCAATTTTTTTCCTTGAACAGGCTTTAATATGCTGCAATATACAGTTCAGGCAAAATATAAAAGATTTAGTTACCTTCAACACTTAAATGTGCTTGCTTTCTAGTGCCTTGGTTTTCTTGATGCTAGAGAAATAACAGTGCTGGGTGTTTCAAAGTGGGAAGTGACTACAATCAGGTTAAAATTTAATCCTGTCCTTCAATAGCGGTTCA